TTTTTCGTGCGCCTTTGGGACGCACATTTATGTTGTTTCTCCAAGCTGGGTGATGCCTTATCGCTCTTCTCATCTTTTAGTTTATTTTCATCGAAAAACTAGTAGGTAATTCCATTTCAATATGGAACAGCGTAATTTTGGGTTTCTGGCATTTTATAAGTATAAACATAAAATATAGAAATATATAGAAATAAATAAAAATACAGAGCGACAGAGGCAGCTTGAATATGCAAATAGCTTTTGGTGACAATGACGAAGAACAAAGTGCAAAATTAGTTCGTGAAGTTCAGTTCAGGAGCTATGAGTCTCGAAGATGTTACGTTGCAGGCTGCACTCAAGTTCTGTAAATGAATTCAGGACGGAAATGGTAAAGACTGATCTCACGGATTTAGCAGAACAGCTTGAATTTTCATCTTATTCCGTGTGGAATGGCTGGCTTGCAATGTGAATAAGATAAGGCTTGATAGATGGATATCGGAGGACGTAACTGGTGCGAAAACGTTTGCAGGTCTATTTTCCGCTGCTAACACGACTCAGAAATAACCTTTTTCTGAAAGGAATTTTTGCTTTCGGCAAAAAATGGATTTTGAGCGACAACAAGAAAAGATTGCCGCGTTGGCTGGGTAAGATTAAATTGCTTCGTTTTATACCAAAATTCATTCGAAGATGTATGGGACAATATTTGGTAGTCTACTGTTGAATGGATACTCCATAGCTTCCTAAAACTTGATGAAGCAAATTATAATCAAACTTTTTAGTAAAGAATTGAGAATAGTAACGAGAAATTGAAAACAAACAAAAAAGGTTCCATTATTTCGCATGAAAGCACCAGGTTCCTCAGATTTTGCAAAAATTTGCGGAGTTGCATATCGAAGCCCTCTCTAATCCACCATATTTCCTCACTTCTCTCGCCAGTAACTTTCTTTTCTCTCGACAGTTTTCTGAAAAGATTTCGAAAAAAGATGGACTTTGAAAACGCTCCAGTAATTCATTATGGTCCAAGTAAATATAAAAAGCGGATCTTTGAATGAACCTTTTCAATAACCTAGTAATTTTGTCATTTTTTTCTTACTCAGAACAATTTTTGTTTTTTATTGTTATTATTTGCATTTTATTTGCATTTTCTTTTATTCGTTTGCTTAATATTATTTTTTTTGTTATTTTATGTTATTATTTATTATTGAGCATTAATTATCGTTATTATATTGACTATATTATTTCACCCCATTCACCCCATTAGTGGTTACGCTGGCTCCAACGGCTACAAGGGTAAGACGCTTCCAAGTGGCGCAGTAATAGAAGCCACTCCTTTTTCCATCGTCCAAGTCCCTACATTGCTGGTCCACCTATCCGTTCAAAATTTTTTCTCACTGTACCAGTCCAGGTCTTGCTTAGCCCACCTTGCTTTTGACGCCAACCATCAAGTAACGAAATATGCGTCAACTCTTGTAGTGGACGACGGTGAACGTGCTCTAACCAGCGAAGGTGACGTTCTGTTATAACATTATTAATGCAAGTGGTATTTGAACGAAGGTGGATACGATCATATGATATTTTATCCGCTTGATGGACCGTAAAATGTACCTTAGACAAGAGTAGTTAAAGGCAGATAACTTCTTATTATCCTCCACTCTCATTGCCCATGTCTCAGAACCATGTAGCAAGATCGAAGGGATCACGGCTATATAGATGCGGAATTTCGTTTTTATGGTGATTTTACGATGGCTCCATGAAGATTTCGTCAACTGGAAGAAATTTCTAGTTACTATGATCTGGGTTGTAATATCTTTTGCTTGGTCATTTGGTATTAGAGTGGATCCAAGGTATTTAAAATCGGATACTTCCTCAACAAATAATGAATTTATAAAAAGAAGCATTTTATCAACTCCTTGATATGACGAAAAGCTTTTCATTTTATTTACATTGACCGTGAGTCCAATTCTCACTGAAGCTGCTGACACGTTTTAGCATTATTTTCATTTTCATCGTAATTGTCAGCAAAAAGGACTACATCATCAGCGTATTCAAGATCTGTGATACGATGCCGTGGACTGATTTGGACACCTCTCGAGTGCCGACAAGCGGTGTCCATTATCCAGTCTATCGCATAGTTGAATAGTTGAATACTTTAGGAGAAAGAGCGCAGCCCTTACGGACACCAGTTTTTATTTCGAAGGAGTATGTCAGCTCCCCATATGCACAGATCTACGCGGACTTATGCTCATAAAATGCCTTTAGAAGTCGAATGATCTCTGAAACACCGTCGCGTTCCATCACCCTCCAAAGCGCAGCTCTATCAATTGAATCAAAGGCAGTCGATGAAACACGTGACAGTGAGCTGCAAATATTTAAAACGATGTTCCTACACCCTTCTTAATGTGAATATCTGGTCACCACAACTTTCCAGTTTGAATCCAGCTTGATTAGGACGCATGCTGCTGTCCCGAACTTCCATAAATCTGTTGAGTAACAGGGCCATAAATCTGTTGAGTAACAGGGAAGCAAAAATTTGACGTCTAGTAGACTGATTCTTCGATAATTATCGCAGTATGTCCTATCATCTTTCTTGAGAATTGGGAGCAGAATTGCTTTGCTCCAGTCATCTGGTAATATTTCTTTTTTCCATACTATGATGCGCGATACATTTATTGAAGGTGCGTTATGAAGGACGATGACAACATTTGAAAAGCTCAAACCGAAGACCACTTTCCCCTGGAGTCTTATTTGCCTTGAGCTTATGGATAACGGAAATTATTTCTTCTTCTATTGGAGGCTCGCAAGCATATGGTTCAGCAAACGTATCAGCGACAGAGGTATCTGCTATATCAGGGACAACGGATGGCGCATCATGGTTAAGTTTGGCCTCAAAGAATTTTTTCCATCTTATGAGGATATTCTTGATCGGCGCCCCATTACCATTTCATTGATCGTTCCCTGAGTCATAGTTATTTTTATGAAGAAGGCGGAATAGTTTCCTATTATCGCCTAATCGAGCCGCCATCTCCATTCTCAAGGCCATGTCAATCCAATAGTCCAATAGTGATTTCTGTCCTGCTGCTTCCGTTGCGAATCTTTGAAGCATCCGGTAGTCAGGATCACCCGACATTTGTGCTTTGTCAGCTTTTTCAGATTGTTGGACAGTTCCGATGCCTAATTAGCGCACTTCCTACTAGTATGCCCTATATCGTGGAACTGGCTAACTTTCGGAGAGATTCGTTTAGTTTGGTCCAGTATTCATTTGTCGTTTCAGATTCAGAAAAATCATTGATATTCGTATCATTATGTTGCTTCAATATTCGGTTTGAAATGCGCTCACTCTCTCCGAATTTTTTAGTTTGAGATAATTGAAGGATCTATGCAGTTTTTTGCGGGTTATCAGTTTTATGCGGATCTTGGCTCGGACCATAACATGGTAAGGTCCATAAACGTTACCAGTTTCGTCGCAATAGGAACGACTATTTAGTACAGAACTCTTCCAATGGCAACTAACAAGGATATAATCAATCAAGTTGAAGTGTCGGTTATTCGAGAATTCCACATGATTTTTCTACGATGCGAGCAGCAAGTATTAAGAAGAAAAAGTTTTTGCTATTCGGCATAACGAAGAAGGTGTTCCTCATTGGCGCACAGGTCTCCGATGCCGTATTTGCCAACTATTGAGGTCATCATAGCGGCATTATGATATAAGCGCGCATTCCAGTCTCCCCTCATTATGACCATGTCATGTTTCGGAAGAGACTTTTTTAGCAACGTTCCGCGTCTTTTGTTTATTGCTGGCATCTACCGACAAAGTCTGTGATGACCGAAATATTGCAGAACTTACCCTTAAAAGTACAGGCCATACGGTCGCTTGCCGGTTTCCACTCAGTCAAAGCGGAATGGGCCTTTCAGACATGGCAATCGCTATTTCGTAATGAGTTACCCGGAAGCACCACAGTGATGTAGCTGGTATCTCTGCTCCGATCCAGGATTAGTAGTTAGTTTAGAAGACAGACCTCCGACAAGCAAGCGACTTCGGCACGATGTTTAGAAAGGGTGTGGATAGTGATCGTTTGATTTACAATGTCCATAAGCGTTCTGACGTTCCACGTTGATACGGCTAATATCTCTCCGCACGTGCAGAGTGGCCTTCCCTTGATAGGTGTAGAGAATTGTCCTAGCTTCCGAGAACATTTTGCTTATGAACCTTGGAATCGTTTGGCTCGAACTGTATACTTATCGCATGTACTGCCATACTGGTAGTACCATGCGCGTAGGAACGGATGTTTAAAGAATATCTGACCTTTTTACCATAGAGTCATTTGGAGATAGAGTTGCAGGTGGGTCCCCAAGAATCACCCGTACTGTTGTTGTTATTTACTATTTATATTAACTGTTTGTTATTTTTCTTTATTGTTTTTATTACATTATTGATTATTATTGTTATACTATGCTATTTATTTGTACTGTTATTGTCACAGTTTTTGCTTTTCGATTTTTATAATTCAACGCTTGCTTTTGGTCTTGAAACATTTTAAGATGTTAAGTGGATCTTTTCGTGCATTTTTAATTATATAGAAAAATCGCGAAATGACCTCGACTTTTTCATTCTATGATTTCTGAACAATTTTTATGAGCATATTTACATCGATTCTTATTTTCTAGACCGTACGCGAGTGTTTACAAAGTTTATAAACCGAAGTTTCCCAGGATGTCGGCTATGGAAATTACTGAAGGCATGGTGGAGGATCAAAAGACCACCACAAGTGAGACAGCGACAATGGAAGTGGAACATAAACTTGAGGAAGAAAGCAAAATTTGTTATTTCATCATTTTTATTTTTAGTAGTTTAATATAAGATAGATATTGTGTGTAAAAGAAACTACTTTGATGATCTTAGTGGCGCTTAAAAAAATTGGTTTTCTGAAAGTGCTCATACTTATGCCATTATATACCATTTCTCATACTTTTAAGTTAGATATAAGGAAAGTTTTAGCATAATAGTTATTTAATAATTTTAGGAAAGTGAACGAATAGCAGAGGAATTGCCAAAAGCTACTGATCCTCCGCAGCAAACTATCGCTGAATCAACCGAAGCTAGTGCAAGAGAAAAAGAAAAGGAAAAGAAAGAGGTATGTGGCATATGAAAAAAATGAAAAATGAAGAAGGAACGAAGGCTGAAAGCAAAGGCAGAACAGGAGGGTATGAAGTTATAGCTAATGCCGGCGAAAGAAGAAGCGTTCACTTTTTAAACCAAGTATTTCTTTAGGTTGTGCAACACTCCACGTCCTAAGGGTTTGTCATATATTGTGTAGTAAATTAAGAGAGTTTGCAATGGTTTGCAATGTTTTTTGAACTTGTTCTAAATCACTTGTTTTTCGACATTAGTAAATGATAGATATTTTATTTTAAGAAATATAGATTTTTAGATAGAAATATAGATTAAATATAGATTTTAAGAAATAGATTAGATTCTTTTATTTAGAAAATTTTCATATGGTTTTTATAGAGTATAAACAACTTTTCAGCGAATGTATACCATGAAAGGTTGATAGCAGTAAACGAGGAAAGATTTTTTTGACATTAAGCTGTTTAAGAAATGAAAAAAAAAATATTCCAGGGTGAAATCAGTGGCGATGTGAGCTCAAGCAATACTGCGTTGTCGACTCGTCAGTATCTAGATCAAACTGTAGTACCAATATTATTGCAAGCGCTTGGTGCTTTAGCCAAAGAGCGCCCACCTAATCCAATTGAATTCGTGGCTAATTATTTGATGAAAGAGAAAGATCGATTCACTGTTGCAACACCTACGACGGCTAATACGGAAGCATCACACTAATGAATCGTCATTTTGCATGCAATTTTTTTCCACTTCCGCGAATTTATTTGAAAGTTTTAATCGTTCTTTGTTTTTGTTCGCAACTCTTATCGCATTCTTATGGGAATTATATGAGGATATTGATACTATTGTTTGTTGCTCGCGATCTAATTTCTTTCTGTCTATTTTTGTTCTTGTGAATAATATCAAATACATTCTCTTTTTGTGTTATGGAATTTTTTTTTCAGTTTAAAGTTTGTGAATTCTTTTTTATTAATAAATTTTGTTATCAAAGCATTGAAAAATCTATCGATTTGTTTATACCAGACTCATTATTTCCAATTATTTTTATATAATTATATGATTCGACCAAGGATGCTTTATAATTTACCAAATTGATTGCTAAGAAAGGTGATTTAATGTGGATGACTTAATACCTTTTTAAAAATTCATAATTTTTTTAGTAGGTTTTTTTGGTTTGTTCGCTCAATTGTTATAAAAGAATTTTCTGACTAGTAATGAGAACCGTTTTTTTTTTTTGAATTGCAGTTGGTTTGAAATGGTTAAATTGTTTGTCGGTGGTCTTCCTGAGGGTGTCGACTCAATACGCTTAAGGCAGCTTTTCTCGCAGTTTGTCATAGTTAACGAATGCGATGTTATAAAGGATTATGCATTTGTGGTTAGCATTTGATATGTGATGAAAATTTGTACTTGATTTTTTTTTAAAGCTTTTCAAGTTATTGCATTTCAGGATTTTTCATTTTTACTTTTCTATATATATTTTGTAGCATGTTGCAACTGACGAACATGCTCGAACAGCTATTGAAAAGCTTGATGGGTATATACTGGAAGGGAAATCGATTAATATTAGATGGTAATTTTGTATTTTTACTTTTCGTTTTTCACCTTTTTTCGAAATTATTGGAATTTCGTTCTTTCTTTTTGAATTATTTATTTTATGAGTAGATTTACGGTTTTTTGCTGAGGAATGATCCTAGATAATTTGTTGACATTGGATTTTAGGTCAACATCAAAGTTACGTAAAGAACCAGGTGTGGATAAACGGTGCTTTCGTTGTGGCACAAATCATCACAAAACACTTCAATGCCCAAATGATCCTGGAAATAACTCGCTGAAACGAACTAGCAGCATGGGAAATATTCCATCTGCCGATATTGCTGACCCAAAACGTTTTGCTGCCGATGTCAAGTTCAGCATTTTCTGTTTTGTTTCGAGTCCTTTGGCAATTTTACATCTTTTCCAATATTTTTTCGTTGATTTTTATTTTTTGTTTAAAAAAATTGGGCAATTAGTGAAATATTTTGTAACTTTTGTAACTTTTTAAATATTGAAATTATAATTATATTTTGTAACTTTTTTGTCTACGCTTTTATGGCAGTGATTTTTGTGATGAATTTATCGAGAATTTTTTATAGTCAGCAGAGTTTACCATATATGCCCGCAGTAACTGTCAATTTAACTGGTCGACCGAGTGAAGTATCCGTTTCAACTCAAAATGTTGCTGGATTTACATATCCTCAGATCGGTGTTCTTCCACAACAACAGCAACACTTTTTGCCACCTCCAGGGGTTCGTGCTGACAGTGATCCAGAGCTTCCACGGCCTGCTGAAAGGTTTATTTAAATTATGGTTTTTTCCAATTTTTTTTAGTTTTTTTGATAAAATTTAATGATCTTCAATTCAAAATCGATAAGACGTGTAAAAACTATTTCCAGTGAGATCCATGTTTAAAATGAAACCTTAAAATTTTGCAAGCGCTAGCGTAAAATATTAAATGTAAATTATATAGATCTGGATACTTGTGTCCTTTCATTTGCCTTCTTCTTTATCTCACTTTTCGACACTTTTTTTTTCTGTTTTTTGTCGTTGTGTTTTGATGCGTTGTTTGTCCATATTCATTGCTTTGTTTGCAGTGACTTGGTTCCATTATATGATCAGTATATGGATGCACGCGTGAAATATTTTTATTTTCGAGAGCGGCTGATGAAGGAATTAAAAGCTCGAACCTCGGTGTCATCCCTCACTGTTCCTGTTCCGTTGCAGACTCCTTTCGTCAATGGTGCATATTCTGCACCACCTCCAACCACTCTGCATTATGAGTATTTATTTTTATTTGGTTAATACATTTGTTATCTTGCCTAAAGGTGCTGTGAACATATCTGCATAAAATGTACTATTAGTAAAAATCTTCGGTTAGTTAACATGAGTGGTATAATTATTGATCTGGATATAATTTGAGCACAAACTACTCCATTTTGCTCGTGTTTGGTTTTGAGGTCAGAAATTTAAGCAGTATTGAAGATACAGATTAAATTTATGGTTTATTTCTTAGTTGTATTTTATAGTTGGGCTTGTTTGATTGTCCGAACAAATTTTCGGACGATTATCTTCATTTAATATTTATTAAATGGGGAATTAGACAAACTTTCGCGCTACGAATTCAACGGTATTTTGCTATTTTGCAATGATTTTATTTTATTTTTGATTAATATTAATGCGATCGAAGTGTTCTTGGTCATATTTGTTATATTTTTGAGCATATGATTCGGACTCAGGTAGATTGGAAGAATATTCCATAATAAATCTGAAAAAGTTCTTAGGCTATATTCGAAGCGATTATTGGATTTAACTTTTACACAGATCTGTCTGTGCTAGCAAAGTTTTATTTTTGACGTAAATATTTGCTTAGATATTTTTCTTGCTTTTCAATGAATCCTACGATTATAGGAAATCTTTCGTTTTTCATGTGATTTTCGTTTCAAATTTTTGCGCCGAAATCGTTTAAAAATTTGGTTTTTTTTTCTTACTAATATATAGCAGATTTTGGGATAGTAACAGATTATAGTAGTTATGTTATTTCTTACGATTATCAATGTCGAATACGTTTTGTTCGGTTTGTTTATTAATGATTTCTCTTATTTTATCAAATGTTAAGGACGACTTCAATCCAGCGTCGTTAATTCGTTTGATTCCTTCATAAAAGTTGGGTTTATTTCCAGTGTAACCTCATCAGTTCCTTCGTATTCGAATCTTATGCCATCAGCAGCTCCATATTCCGGTGGGACGGCTTCAAGTGCACTTCCATCAGCACCTTATTCGAGTGGTCAGCATTATTATGCTAGTGTTTCTGCAGCAGCTCCTTATCAACAACAGCAACAACCACAGTCAGCGCCAACACAAGGGCCACAGCAGATTCGTCTTTATTGATTTTCCATTTCTTTTGCCATTTACGTTTATTTTTTTTTTTGTCAGTGGTTTTAATGAACTCTCGATATATTAATTGGGCAGTTTTGCACACTGAAGTTTTTTTTAACATATCAAATTAATGAATTTAATCAGCAAATTATAATCCTTTGTGAAATTTTTTAAAATATAATTTAACAATTTCCGTAGACTTAAGATTTATGCAATTTTTCATACACCAAATATGAATTGAAAATTTTATTGCTCTATGAAATTCTATACGTTAAAATTGCCTGGAATAATTTTTCATTTATTAAAATCAGGTCATGTACTCCTTATTTTTTTCGGTTTGTTTATTTTACTCGTGATTATTTTATTTTATCATTTCAATAACTGATTGAACGAATTCAAGAATACGCCTCTCTATTTCCAGATGTTTTATAGCAGGATAGGCGAAATTGTTTTCAGTAATTTTCGATCAGATTTATAAGTTTTATAGATCTTTTCATATTATTAGTTTTTGTGTATGCAGATGGTAAAAATTTTCTGCATTTTTTCATTAATATTTCAATTTAAAACAGGCTCTCGATGAAGGTGAAATTTTGTAATTTCTTCACGTGCAATTTTCGTGTATTTTGGTGATTTGTCGCCTAATTTTTCGATGCAGTAGGAGACAGTATAGTATGGTTGTTTCTCCTGAGAATGAACATTATGGATTTCGTTCCCGCCCTTTGATAAATGTAATCCTTCTATGTAAATCTCTGGCGAAAAATATAAAAGTTTTTTAATGTACCATTCAGGGCCCAGCCAAAGCAGTAATAATAAATCCTGTTAGAATAAGATGATTATTTGTCTTATAACCATAGTCTAAGTGGATAGTTTTTTTATTGAGAGAAGCTTAAAAGGGAAAATTATTCGAGAAATGCTTTTAATTTGTTTTGCTTGTGAAGCTTTATGATTTTTTAATTCAGATTCATTTTAATGGGAGTTGAATGAAGTTTTTACATGTTGCGAAAAGTGATGTAATTGTAAATGTTTTTATTAATAGGTGGTGCGGCTAACTACCTCTTGATCTTTTGAATTCTTTTGTTGCGAAAAAGCAATAAAATTACGCAGAAACGATGAAATGCGATTTAAATTGCGAGTTTCATCTAAGAGAATATCAGTTTTTTTGAGTTGATAGATTTTTAGATCCAGTGGCTTGATATTGGGTACTGATGCAAAAGCTTGAAGGCGAAGGAAAGAGTAAGGTTTTCAATTTTTGAGTTGTTTTGAATTGAATTGAATATTGTTTATTCTTTTAATATCCAAAAATTTTTTTATTTTCAGGCTATTTATTTTCAAAATCTAACGCCATTTCGGTCGTTGGGTGTCGATAAATACGTTGCAGATAAAGTTTAATTAAGCATAAATTAGATTATCAAAAAATTTTCACTTTATAGGCAGTGTCAAATTCGCTATAATTGATAGCAGTATGTACGTAAAAAGTCTTCGATGTTTCAGTTACGGTTAGTTTCTTTTCGTGGCATTTTAAATCTATTAAATTTTGCTGGAAAAGATATAGAAATTCGACAAAAAGATGAAAACGACTTTAATTTAAATGAAGAAGTTGTCAATGCAATTTTTGTTCATTATTTTTGTTCTTTTGGGTTCGACTAAAATTATACGTTGTTATCACGGATATAGCAGCGTTTTTGGTTTCTCCGCGGAAACTCCGAAGGCAAATTCTTCAGGTTCAGGCTTTTAAAAGTTCTTTATTCATTTCGATCTTTACTTTATACATTCTAATCTTATTTTTATTTTTTTGCAGTGATAACAACATTGAAGAATTTGTATTATTTTTATGGAAGTGAATTTTAAAAATGGAATCAGGATAATGATGAAAACTTTGATTGCATAAATTATTATAGGAAGTATGCTTAAACGAAAAAAAAGAAAGTTGGAGTAATTATATCAGAATTATTGGTGTTGTTACTAGAAGAAATACAGAGATTATACAAAGATTTTTATGAATTATATTCAGATAGTTTTAATTTTCAAGTTGAACTTTATGCATTATAGCCTTACCTCTATCATTTCTGGACGGTGATAGCCGTGTTTCAAATTTTATAAACGCATATCGGCGCTATGGCTATCGCAAAGCAAATCTTGATCCTCTTCATCTAACTAAAATACCCTTGTACACCTTATTTGATAATTGGCACATTTTTTCTTTACTTTTTACTTTTTATGGAACAAAATTAAAATAAATTGTGAGAAATGGTTGTATTACTTATCAACTTTTGTGCGAGAAAAGATTTTTGATTTTTTGAAAAGATTTTTTTTCTTTCATCTTTTTTATCTTTCTTTTTTCAGTGTTTCCGAGTTATCTCCAGAATTATACAACCTTAATGAAAATGACTCAATTATTAAGGACGAAAAGAGGCTTCATATGTCAGAACTTATTGGTCAATTGGAAAAAATATACTGTGGGCCCTTGGCAGTAGAGTTCATGCATTTAACGGTAAGATGGTTTTACTTTTAAAATTTCCTTCGTGAAACGTTCTACTAACGCATTCTTACGACCGGATATATGGAATTTCTGTAAAGGTAAAGAGGGATTTTAAAATTGGTCTGTGTTTTTATGAAGTTGTCTGAAACACAAAATGTGGCAGGATACAGTTACGGCTATTAAGTTTTCTTCCAGAAGTGAACATATACATAGCAAATTGTAATAGCAAATTATACTTTTAGTTTTACATTTCATACCTTTACTTTGTCCGAAAATTTATCAATTACTAATAAACCGTGGTTTCAGGATTGGCAAGAACGTAAATGGTTTGCTACTTCATTTGAGAAACTCATTGATATATCATTTAGTATTAGAGAACGCCTCCATTATGCAAAAATGATGCTACGTTGTCAGGTATTTTTTGTTAGTTTTTTTTATCTTTTTATCTTTTCATTTGCTGAGGCGCATCAAGGGAGTTCATTCGAATCACCTGCAATTGAATGTGTTTGAACATATTGTCGAAAAAAAGTGCACTTGCGATAGTGAATAAAAATATTTATCGAAAGTTTACGATAATAAATGAATTAATTATTTGACAGATTCGAAGTAAACAGCGAATGTGGTTAAGGTTAAGAGTTTATTTAATAATATTCAAAAAAAAGTGAATATTGGCGACGAGGAGTGGTTTTTAAAACAGCGAAGGCGAGTGTTCGTTCGTCCAAAAAAATATGACTCCTGCTGAGAGCCATTAATTGCCGATTTGGGTTGGGCTTACAATCGCACTGATCGTTAGAAAATTATAAAAAAATTAGTTTATTTTTATCCGAGAGGAAATTTTCTCGTAGTTACTTTTTTGATATATAAATAAGATGGTTTAACAAATTAGTAACAAATGAATAAAGAAAAGAAGAAAGATTTTTTGTATGATTTGCATATTGAATAGTTGACTATTTATAATGTGAGCAAGCTTTGTTAAAAAATGTTTTCCCTTTTTTTATGTGTTTTTTAAATGTTTTATGAATTCTTACCGTATTATTTTATTATTTTATTTATCTATTATTTTTTTTATTTTCGGTTATTTCCGACATATGTATTATCATTTCTGATTCAATCTAAATTTATTTCTAGAATTACGACCATTTTTTGGCCCTCAAATTCCCTCAAGTAAAACGCTACGGTTGCGAGGGCGCGGAATCAATGTTCATATTTTTTATTGAATTATTTAATTTGTGTCCTTCATTCGATATCGAAGATGTTACCGTTTGCATGGCTCATAGGGGTCGATTGAATCTTCTTTGCGAATTGATGCAATTTCCAATAGTCCAAATGTTCCGAAAGGTTTTTTGGTTTTTTGGTGAATGAATTTTTGGCTATCTCTGGTGGAATTTTTTGTCTCCGGCATCGATTACACTTCCGAGTTTTGGAAAACACCCATTTTTACATGGTTTGGTGTATTTCTATGGCTTGGAAATCAGTTTAGTCTAAATTGCATTTCGTTCATCATTTTGGTTAAGTGTGAAATATAATTAGGTTTAGGTAGGAAAATTATAAATGGTAAAATTTTTTTATTCTCAGATGCAAGGAAAAACGGAATTTCCAGATAATGTTCATGCAGTTGGCGATGTATTATCACATCTGAGTAAGTTTCTTGCAATTTACAGTACATTATACATCCTTTCTGTATTTTTCATAATTTAAATTTTTATTAATTGTTATATGAGTATACTCTGGATTAATTTTTTAGAATCTTCTTTCGACCAGACAACTAGTGGTGGTATGGTTCATGTAACGATGATACCGAATCCTTCACATTTAGAAGCGGTTAACCCGGTAGCAGTGGGACGAACAAGAGGGCGTTGTCTTACGAAGCGTAGAGGTGATTATGGTCCTTGTAGCGATAGGGACGGCGATAGTGTTTTGTGCGTTCAAATCCATGGTGACGGTGCTTTCAGTGGACAGGTTTATCACTTTGTTTCTTCTAATTTTACTTTTGGTTTATATTCCTGAATCATTTATGACATTTTAATTTTGTCTAAAAGTATATTTTGTCTTATGATTTTATGACTTTGGTCATTTCCATCTTTTCCAGAAATTTTAGGATGTTCTTTTATTTTTTAAAATTTAAGTATACTAAAATAAGTATTTTCAAATTTCTCGAAATTTTACGCTCTCTTCTAGGGAATCTGTTGGGAAACTATAGGACTATCTCAGTTACCTCATTTTCGAATCGGTGGCAGTGTTCATCTAGTCGTGAATAATCAGATAGCTTATACAGCAGAAGCTCAAGTCACTCGCTCAAGTGATCACTGTACTGATATTGCTAAAGCTTTTGATTCTCCTGTTATTTACGTAAATGGAGACTATCCTGAGGTTATTTAATGCTTATTGAAATCTCTGGTTTAGATGATTTGTCTTAACACCTCTGGTAATATAAATTCCTAATATTCTCAAATTTTGTCGAAAACAGTATTTTATTTATTATTTTACTTCTTTATTTTATTTTTTTATTTTATTATTATTTTATTACTTTTATTTTGCTTTATCCTTTATGCATATATCGCTCAGTTGGTTGCAAAAGCGACACGACTTGCCATGGGCTACCGTAACCAGTACCGTAAGGATATTTTCATCAATTTGCTATGCTACAGAAGGTGGGGGCATAATGAATTGGATGATCCGCGATTTACTCAACCTGTCATGTATAAGTAATCAGAATTTTTTCGTTATTTTGTTTTCCTTTTGTTTTTTTTGTTTTCTTTGCTTTTTTTTCCAAAATTTTTTTTGGAAGTATCTATCTGGAATTTTTACTTATTCTTTTAGAATTATCAATGAACGGACGTCTCCACCGGATAGATATGCAGCGCAGCTAATAGAAGAAGAAATAATGACAACTGCAGAGAAAGATTCCTTAATAAAGGGCCATATGGATAGTCTCATGGATGATTTCCGTGCTACAAATAAGTCTTCGCCAATGTACGTTTGAATTCTTGGGCACTTCATTTTTGTTTTGATTCTTTTTTTTTTATTACTGTTCTCTTCTCAATCATTTGGCGTTTATAAAAAAAGTTTATAACCAGTTAGGGTACTGATTGAAATGGAAAAAAATGTGTTTTAGTGTTGGCCGTGTGGATGGAAATTGGAATAGTATGGTTGAGGCCCCAAATGCTGTTGAAAAATGGGACACAGGAGTTAATATTGACTTGCTGCGATTCATTGGTGCAAAATCTATAAATCTTAACTCTTCGTTTGTACGTTTCTCAATTTTCAATTTTTTATGGATGAGGCTTTTAACAGCGGAAGATGAATGAAATTCCCTATTATGAAATCGTATTCCATATTATTATCTCTAGTATTTGGAAGTTTCGGGTATACAATTATTAGAAAATTGTAGGTGATATTGATATATTTTTATTTGAAAAACCAAATGAAAACTTTATAGGTAACATGCATTAGAACATTATACATTAAAGAATGAGTCAAGGGTTGGTCTTAAAAGCTTGTGGGGGCCTGGGAATTCTGATTGGAACTGAAGAGCGAATTGTACAAGTTGGATTTATGGAGGATATTTAATGAATAATCGAATTCGATTGAGTTGACAAACATATTTTACTGAAAAACGAATGATATTTTTAAAAACATTTTTATTGTAGGCTATAAATGAACATTTACAAAAAATGCATGTAGATGCACGTTTGAAAAAGATGGAGATGGGTACGAATATTGACTGGTCTACAGCCGAAGCTCTTGCATTTGGATCAATTCTTTTGCAAGGTAATTTCAGTTAGTGGCTGGAACTTTATTCTAAAGGTGTATATTAAACTATCGCAGGATATGATATTAGACTGAGTGGCCAAGATGTTGGACGAGGTACTTTTTCTCAGCGCCATTTGATGCTTATTGACCAGGAAACAAATGAAACAATCGTTCCTTTGAATCATATGTATTCTGAACAGCAAAATTTTATTGAGGTATATTTTGTTAGCTGTAAGGAGGATTTTTTTACATTTATTATATTACATTTATTATAGCTTAATAAAAACTTCAGATTTGTTCAAATTTTTTTGGCTGTAGATTGGTTCATTTCGTTTGGTTCAAACGGTTCATTTATTCCTTTGTCGTTATCACGTGATTTTTATGAATTTATAGAATTTTTCATTTTGAGGTGGCCAATAATATGCTATCAGAAGAGGCCATTCTTGGCTTCGAGTTTGGATTTAGCATGGAAAATCCGATGCGACTATGTCTTTGGGAAGCTCAGTTTGGCGATTTTTCCAACGGCGCACAAATTATTATCGATACTTTTATTACTTCTGCAGAACGTGAGCATTTCTTAATTTTCTTTGTTTCAAATCAGTTTTTTTATTTAATTTATATTTGTGCTTCAAATATTATAATATTTGTATATTATAATATTATAATGTAATATTTATGCTTCAAATTTTTTTCTTCCAGATTTTCTTTCTACTTTTGCAATTTAATATTGTAGATAAATGGTTAACGAAAAGTGGATTGGTCTTAGTTCTTCCACATGGTTTTGATGGAGCAGGGCCAGAGCATAGCTCGGCTCGGATTGAGCGTTTCCTTCAGCTTTGTGATAGTCGAGAGGACCAAATACCACCAGATGGTGAATCGGTAAATATTCATATTGTTAATCCAACAACTAGTGCTCAATATTTCCATCTACTGAGAAGACAAGTAAATTTTTTTTTCGTTTTTTTTTTTTAAATGAGGCATTGAAAGAAATTGTTTTAGCATATAAGCGCTTTTTCATCCATGAAGCTTCACCTTCAGAGAACTTTCTTGTTCATTAGTCTTTGATAAAATTAAGCCGAAAATAATTGTGAATTAAAAAATTTCCTTTTATCCTATCAGAAAAATGCTTTGTACAATGCTTTATATAAAAATTACGAAACAAGATGTGTTTATTTGCTTGAGCACAGGGAAATTTCTTGATCCTATATGTTATCTTCGATTTCAGCTGTGATTTCTATTTTAGATTATCACACCTTATCGAAAACCACTGATTATCATTGGTCCGAAAATTCTGTTAAGGCATCCGATGGTAATATTTTGAATTCTTATTGTTTGCATTTCTTTCAAAAAATTGTTGAAAACTTCATTTACCTTTTTTTTCATTTTATTGGTGCTTGGAATGGTAAGGAATTGCAGATTTTCTATGTTTAAGGCAGCATGTACACTTTATGATATGGTTGAAAATACCCATTTTCGCACTGTAATAGCAGATGATTATGTTCTCGCTAAAGACGTTCATAAGGTATATTTGAAGTTTAATTTCTCGGTTTGAACCTCTAAAACATACTTGTTATGGTGGTCTCTATCAAATATTTAAAAGTGACTTTAAAATGACTTATAAATTGCAAATAGTAAAATATTTGTTTCTCCTATGCTATTAACATTTTCAACTCTGAGAGAGGTGGTTTCAGTTTATTAAATAATAAATTGTAAAATCAAAAATCTGTTTTTTTATATTAGCGAATTAAATTATTGTCAAAGTTTATAGCCAGCAAATTTAAAAAAAAAATTGTAGGTAGTATTCGTTAGTGGCAAACATTATTTCACATTACAAAAAGAACGAGACAAGAGAAAAGTGCATGACATGGCAATTGTAAGAGTTGAATCGTTATGCCCATTCCCGTTCCAAGAACTTCAGGAAGCTGTCGCGAAATATCCGAATGCAAAAAGTTTTTAACATTACAAATTTTAAAGCACTTCTGTAATCTCGAATTCCAGTGCTCTTTCATTGATTTATAGTGTATCACCAAACCAAGCCTTTCTGTTACTTCTGGATTTTTTTCAGAATTTGTTTGGTCCCAGGAGGAGCCCCGTAATGCTGGCGCATGGTCTTATATTCGTAGTCGTTTCTCTAATGCATTTTCAATTGCAGTATGTTTCTTCTGCGACATTTCGGGAAAATTTTTTTAAATAAATCTTAAATATGTGTTTAAAAAATTATTTCTTATTTCTAATGAGAAATCTTTTAAATCATTAGTATTTTTTTTAACGCGAATCAGATTTAAATTGGAATGATTTTATTTCAGTTAACATATTGCGGAAGACCAGAGCTAGCTTGGACAGCAACTGCGATAGCATCCATTCATCAACATGAACATAAAAAAGTTCTGGCTGATACATTTTCCGCATAATTTCATAATTTTTGGTCAGGATAATGTACTAATTCTGATTTTTTGTTTGCAACTTGATTTTCTTAATAATAAATTGTAAAGATATAGTACGAAAACTATGTAAAATCAAGGATTAAAATGATCATTTAAAATTTTATCAAAGCGTAAATGAAAAATAGCAGAATATCAGACATGTTTAAAAAAATTATTTATTTTAAACAATTAGTTGTGGATGCTGTTGAACAATGAACTAGTGGATCCGGTAAAATAGTAAAATGGCTAAAATTGTTAAGGTTTGAATAGATGTAAATAATTGAATAAACGATCACACCATAGACTGTCAATTATTTGGTTTTTTATCATTCTTTTATATGCATTTATTATTTAATCTAATTTAATTTAATTTGTGTTTATTCTAATTTAGAAATATTAAATTTGATCAAAACTTAATTTAATTAGATTGCAAATAGCAGCAATAGGTCTAATTATTATCTAATTTCTTCGTTTACATTTTATTGAAAATGAACAATTTTATCATATTTGTGAGCACTGCAAGGATTCCTGTTATAAAGAAGAGCAGATATTAATTAGCAGTCGATTCATGCACATAGAACAAATTGAAGTATTTTTCTCGTTAGTGATGTAATAGTCTTTTTTTTACCACAACGCTGTATAGTTAATGCATGGTTTATTGTTTTTTTTAGCAGTATTGTTTAAGTGTTGAATTGCTTGAAAATCTGAAGAAATGGGAGAATCAATAATTAGAATATTTGATGTGAATGCAGTATTCTCATTGGAATTGGTATGATTGTTTAATGGTCTTTAAAATCTTTTATCCTTCATTTCTTAAAATAAGATTGAGTTCGGTTAATACAAGGTGCTGTTGTTTGTTGTTGCTGTTTTATATACTTTTGCGGTTAACTTTTATACACTTTTGTTATGCTTTTAATTGTTTTGGGTCAGTTTTGTGATTTCTGAGTTTAATTTTTTTAAAAATTATGTGAAATTAGCTGGGTTTGATCGAGTTTTTTGAAATAGATTTGTTCTTTCTTTATACATTTCAAGCAGAATATATTCTGGAAGTTTATTCATTTGTAGTCACGTTTTTATTTCCGCTTGTCCGCGTGTTTTCTTATTGCATTAATTTTCTGCTGTAATTTCAAGGCACTTTCATTATTTTATTCAACGTTTTTTTGAGAAGCATCCAGGCGCAAATAAAACACTTATTGGACTGTAAAGTTCATAAAGGATAAACTTACCCAGTCAATCTGAATATGGTTTTTCGCAAGAACGACTGCCTTGATGCTGAGAATAATTTTATTATATTCTTTAGGAAATATATTAGAAAAAGAGTGAAAAGTTTTGTTTAAAATATTTTTACAAGTTTAATATTTAAGCTTAGCTAGAAAGTTTAAAATTTCAACGTAGAAAATGTAAAATAAACACCTCGATCGTCGAGCTCTAACATTCTCCCATATTGAGAAGGTTCATTTGTTCATTATTAACAAGAATCGAACTATTTCGGAACTGGACCAATCTCTTCGATCGGCGAGAGCATTTCTGAGTGGCACATTGACTTTCGATGACACGTCTTTAGTAGGGATCAGTTTTAGATGTGCCGTTGATATTTATCATTGAGGTGTTTCTATAATTTGATTTGAAATCTGCTTATTTCCAAATTTTTTAGCTTGAGATTTAGAGACTGTGGGGCTGTCGTTTTCTGGATTTTTGGATTGGTAGAACCAAAACATGATCGGACACATGAAAGTTATTTAAACAACGCGGTAACGACTGACTAGGACATAATCAGTCTGGTTGGGATTTTGGTTATCCGAGGGGGTCAAGTGGTTAAATGTCTTCTTCATTGCCAAAAGCATTGTTAGCACAGGTTCCAACACCATTTGGCAACTAAAGAACTCACGGTATGGTCATCATGATCTGCGCCATCATTCCGATCTCCCCAAAGTATTACCAACACATTTCGGCAGAACTATTAACAATTGGAGTTATGCACAGAATTTATCTTTATTGTGGATATTTGCGCATTAAATGGGAACTAATGGCCGTTTACATTGCAGGAGTTCCTTTTAAAGCAAGCATAGACCATACGGTTAAATGCTTTCATTCAATTAGAGCTGATCGAGTCTTTTCAGATATGGCAATCGTTAAGCCATTTCGTCCCGAGTTATCAGAAGCGCCTCAATAATACAGCCAATATCTGTGCTAGAAGTTTGAAATGATAAAAACAGTCTTCCGAGCACAATCGCTCCCCGATCCAAATCCAGCTTGATTAGGGTGCATCCTGCTGTCCCATACTGTCCCATAAGTCTGAGTAGAAGGAAAACATTTGGGAGGAAAAAATTTTCACTGAAACGTCTAAGAGGCTGATTTCATGATAATTATCACAGTATATCCTGTCACTTTTTTTGAGAATTGGAAATAGAATTGCTTCACTCCAGTCATCTGGTATTATTTCATTCTTCCATATTGGAGAGTACATTTGTTGAAGGTGAGCTACGAAGGACAATGGACAACATTTGAAGAGTACCAAGACCATTCTGCCGGAGTTTTATCAGCCTTAAATTCCTGGAAGAGATTATTTCCTCTTCTTTTGGTGGTTTGAAGTTCGCAAACATATGGTTCGAAGAGCGAATCAGTTATTTCCGAAGCAATAGATGGCTCATCGTAGTTAAGTCTGGTCTCAAAGAATTCCATCCTTATGAGGCGATCCTGAACAGATTCTTTTTCCATGCTCTTAACACAAAAACCATTGCTCATCCCATACCATTTCATTGATCGTTCGCTTTGTTATAGTTGCTTTATGAAGAAGACGAAATAATTTCTTATTATCGCCTAATCGAACCGTTGTCTCCATTCTCAAGGCCATATCACTCCAATAAATATTTCTGTCCCGCCAATAAATATTTCACTCCAATAAATATTTCTGTGCTGCAGTTATTGTAATTCTTCGAAGCATCCGACGGTCAAGATCTCCTGATATTTATACTTTGGCAGCCTTTTCAGACAGCTGGACAGTTGCTTCTTATACCCAACTAACATATTTCCTACTAGTATGCCCTAGCGTAGAACTGGCTGATTTTCGTAGACATTCCTTTAGTTGGCCAAATCATTAATAAGCTTATAATGTTGAAAAGCGAATAATGAAAAAGCATTTTAATCCATAGCAAATCTGCATATCATTTTTCCAAGCAGAGAGATATTCGGTGATCAAATTTTTCGTCGCTATTATTTAGTGCATCAACTGATATTTATTTTTCTTAACAACTGCATCTTCTTTAAAATATTAAAATCAAAATGGAAGTTTTGAATGAAATAAAGAATTCTTTTAAAAAGTTAAAAAGTTGGAGTTAAAAGTAAAAAAAAGTTTCTATAATTTTTTTTAAAAAAAATTTTTAAAAGTTTCTTTCGAAAGTCAAACATTTAAAAAAAAACCAAATTTTAAAAAAATTTAGAGTAAATTTAAAAAAATTTGACCTTTTTTTCGAAGTTTCAGAAATTTAATTGAATTTAAGTGAACTAATTCATTGCAATAAACAGTTCTTGCAATCTTTAAGAATAATAGAAAAATAGAAAAGGAAATCCTTAAAATTTCTTAAAATTGATCAAAATTTTACGCATGAAAATAAATTTAAGGAACTGCAACTTAAAGGTTCCAAAGAATAAATATTAACAGCGATTCAGTCAAAGTATGTCAGAGCAAGTAACCGGTAGAAATCTGTTCTGACGTGTGAAAATTTACTATTTATGATATATATGTCGAATAGATGGCACTTAAGATTCACATGTCACCAAATAAAGAGTTTTTAGCAAAGAGATTTTAAGAATTAATACAATAGTGGAACCAGACAAACCAGAAATGTTAGATTATTAATAAAAGACGAGTATGCTCTAAATCCTCGAGGTTTTCGTTCCTTGACAAGTTTTTCGTCCGCAATGTTATGCTATAGCCATCTGCTAACATAAAGACTTAAAAATTGTTGGTGCGATCAATAAAGCTTTAAAAAAGGAAGTTTTACGGGCTATTTATGTGCAACAAAAAGTTTAACATTTTTTGAAAGAATATTGTAAGAAAAAGATTTTATTTCTTCTAAATGAATTCAATTCATTTTTCTTTTGACTGGATCCAATCAGTGATGGAATAAAACCCTTCGGATCTTTCGGCATAGAATATATGGATGGGTTCGTTATACTTCTCTTAATAACAGATTTGCTTTAATGAAACCCTTGTTCGAGTGCAGTCGAAATAATTTAATGATTATCTTTTGCACCTTTTAAATTAAGGTTTTTTTTGGTACTTCAGCGTTTAAAAAATTTAATGAATTGGGTTGAATTGGTAACTGTCGTAAAAACTTTGTAGAGAAAGTTGGTGTTAATCATTCCCGAATGCTCGAGACGATAATCTATTCAATAGCCATTTCCACGTAGATAAAAACTTACTAATAGTCAATGGGGTGAGCTTAATGGGTAAAATGGTGAAAATTAACCATTTCCTTACTTAAACTTTATGAAATAAAAAACATATAAATATAATGATAAACAGTAATAATCGACTTTATTCGAGAATGCTCACAGTTTTGTGCATTCAAAAGGTTAAAACGGCTTTCAAATCCTTCCTTTTCCTTTTAAATAAAATTACTGAAATTCATATGAAATATTTATAGCTATCTCGAGAGAAATATTTCGGTTTATTATCTAATTTATACGTTTTTATTTTGATAGCATTCATTTTTATAATTTTGCAAATTTTTCTGATTTTTCTGGATCTTTGGTTAGATTTTTCGTTCAATCTACTTGCAGTTTGTATGATAGTTAAAGATAATTTTTTGATAGGATTCTATTAAGTGGTTAGTACTCGCCATTTCTGATTAGGCTAGTTGCGCTGGTTGTTCATACGATTGAAAATTTTAATCAGTGAGTAACTTTGGATCGTCAGCACTACCAGGATTTTTTGATGCAGTTTAATCTTATCAATGACCTGAGTCGACTCTTTCTCTCAACACGAAAATCCGACTGATTATTCGCTCGGCCATCTTGTCCTATAAAATGAAGGTAAATAATAAAGTTTGGTATTAAATAGACTTTAAATTTAAGACACAGTTTTAATAAGAAATCTGAAACGAATTAAGGAATGGCTGTTTATAATTTATCTTATGAATTTTTAGACCAGTTTGTTCGATAATTTTTGATGAATTCTTTATGAAAATTGTTCAGAACTGTTCATTTTACAAAACATTTTGGTTTTTGTTTTTGTAATTCCGTTTTTCGTTAAATTGTATTATTTTTGGAAAAATATCACATTTTTCTCCACGCCGGTTAAAAAATCTAGCGTCTTTCTATTCCAGAAAAGTAAATATGATGGAAAATTATTCTTCCCATATGTGATCCTTCCTACGAAAGGAATAGAATAGTGTTTTTTTCTTTTAATAGCTTACACCGTTGCTGGTTAGGCTACACTTGCTAGCTATAAGAGTGATGCGTTTTCGAGCCTTTTGATCCGATGCCGAAATAATTGAAGCCACTCTTTCTGCTCCTAAGTCCATATGTCACTGGGCCGTCTAAATCCAAAATCTCTCCAGTCTATATCAATATAGGTCTTGATTACCTATCCGGTGATAAATGAGATTAATCGCTTGATGTTTGTATAATATTAAATATTTTTATATTTTGCATTTCTGATAAAGGTAAACTTGCCATTTGAAATTTAAATTTTTCTTGCTTAACCTATCTTCGTCACATGAATGTGCAATTTTAATAAATATTTCACCATCTTGATAAGAGGACGAGTTTTGGAGAATTCTAAATCCGCATGAAGCGAAATTAAGTAACTAGCTATATGCCATTTTTTCCATAATTTTTAGCGGACTCAGTCATTTTAATAGATTGTCATTATAAATTGTATGATAATGTAGGCGCTCAATATCAAGTATTTCGCTTGCTATTAGTAGGATGGGCAGTAGGCAATTTCGGTGCTACGCAACAGAACCAGCCATGCGTTCCTAAAATAAGCTGGAAGAGTTATTTAGCGAAGACTTCAGCCTCATTAAAAGTTTTTAAAATAAGCGCTTGCTTAGTTTGAGTGGATGACAAATGTAATTGACGATAATTTCGAATTTTCTTACTATTTATCTAACGCTTCATTGGTAATGAACGCATTATTGTTTAGTTGATCGTCATTTTTGATAGCAACAGCAATTTTAAAAGTAATCAAAACGGGTTTCTGACTCTTCAACGAAAGTTTTTCGCCGAAATTCCTTTACATTCTCGTTCTAATCGAGAATTTCCTTCGATTACAAATCAAAGCTTTTATGTTAGAAAATTAAAAGGTATTTTTTTTTTTTTTGCATTGTATTTTATTACACGGATTGGGTGAATATTTCGAATTTATTTCGGATGTTCATATTTAATTTTGATGTTTTGATGCTTTTTTACAGTTCGTCTTGCATCTCATGATTAATATATAAATACCTTTATACAAGTTTTATCGAAACGTTTCTAATGTAAATCAGCGATTCTCAATCTTTGTTAATGATCGCTTTTTACCTTATGTCAGGGTAAAAATCCTTTCCTCTTGATGGCATGCATAGCGATTGGAAAGGCTGTTTGTATGGACTTGGGCGCTTGCAATTTTCTCATAAGCTTTTATCTATTCTTTCATTTAAATTTGAAAATATCATCTTAGGAGTTGGAATTTCCCACTATTTGAGTGAGAGTTTTGCCCCAGATAAATAAAAATCTATCTGCTTCATTTATACATTTGTAAAATTTTTATATGGTTTTTATACGGCCAAAATTAATATGATTGCGGAGCATTGAAATGTTGTCTAATTTTACATTTGCTTTCACAATGTTTATCGTTCACGTTTTACCACTGAATCTGAAGCTAACTTAATACTACTTTTCTAGCATCAAATCGCTAACCATTACAATTTTATCCGTTTTCATAACTGCGAAATTTTCATAAATTTGTAACATTGAATTAATATTGTATTGAGCGATTATTTTTATCTTCATCCAGCAAAAGAAGCGATGTAAATATGAAGAAATCGGAAAAAATCTTACACGATGTAAATATGAAGAAATCGGAAAAAATCTTACACGATGTAAATATGAAGAAATCGGAAAAAACCTTACACGATGTAAATATGAAGAAATCGGAAAAAACCTTACACGATGTAAATATGAAGAAATCGGAAAAAACCTTATACCTTTACGAATATTTTTTTCACAGCACATCATTTATATTAGCTTTACATTTCTGCTTATTCATTAGCTATTAGTATGGGACTGGGCAGAGAATCAGAAGTACCAGTAGATCACTATTTCCATCCTGATTGATAAGAACGACTTTCCTTAAACTAATAATCTGAGTAAAGCGAATTCGCTCTTATTAACCCTTCTAGAGATGAATCTGATAATTCAAAATTTAAGGCTACTTAAAAAATTACTACATCCATGCATCAGCATCATTTCAGATAAAAATGGATAAAATACTGTTATCTATAACTGTATTTGCAATATTTTTAATACTTGAAGTCTGGTCAAGACCACCAACTCCTGAAGAAATTAAAGAGCAACCGTTAAATGCAGATTCAAAGGACGATTATGACACACTTCCAGCATTTTCAATGATACCTGAGAATATTAAGGAGAGTTTCAAGAAACAAAAGATTCTATATCTTCAATTGCTTCAGCAACATCATTTGTAATTAAATTCCGTTTATGATCCTGTAAATATTTTGTAAAGAAACAAAATCTTGAAATATTTGAAAAACTGAATTTTGAAGCTTTTGCAAATATTTTTTCAAAAAAAAAATCCGAAAATAAAATCCACTTTATAAATTTAAACGAAATCTGTAGCACAGAAAAATATATATTGTTCGTGAAATCCGATGAATGCAAGAGAATACTTACGATGAGTGCCTACTAAGCCTTTTACTTTATTCACAAAAAACGATGAATTCAGCAACTGATTAGCCTAAAATGAATGATTTAGAAAGGAAAATTTTTCAAAATTTCACTGGAGCAAAAATGATTTTGCAATCTAATGCTTATCCTCAAGAGTATCTTGGTTGCAAAGCCTATCAAAATCTTCATTTTCATTCAACTTCAATGAAATAGCTTGAGTGTTTCTGAATCATTACATTTTTTTCAATGTTTTTTTCATGATAAATATTAATTCATTAAATAAATGATTGTTTTTTTTATCGGTCAAAATTTTCTAAATTTCTCATACTATGTGGATGTGAGCGAATATTTCTGAATTATAGGATGGGCTTCGCCTTGTTTCTTACAAATTTTACAAATTTAAAGCGAAGAATTTAAAGGCTTAATCAGCTATCATTGTAAAATTCTAAAGCATACATTTATTCTCTGCAAATAAAAGTAAAAGTATTTTGTTGATTTTGTTTCATAATAAAATGATTAAAAATAGCTATGCTGAGGCAATTCGTAATAAGTAAACTTAAGCTCTACAAATGAACATCTGAAGGAAATAGTGAAGGTTCTTTTCAGAAGAACCTATGCAAATTTACCACAAGAGGTTGGCGTTCCATATGGGAACATCTGCGTCCAATAGCAAAGAAGGGAAAGCGAGATAAATGGGTGTCTCGTAATTGGCTGAGCATCGGATGAAGACACGTTTAAAAATGGTTTATTGGTTGATGCCCCAATAAAAATGGTCTATTTCTAGAATTTTTAGAAAATCTTGCGATGGGAAATGTAATTTCTATTCTGTACGACAAAGAAAGGTCGCCACAAGGATTGAACAAGAATGAACCTCATCGACTTATGTTAAAACCCGATCTTCGCCAGTTGCATAATTAGTCCACTATAACTTTTTATAACCTGATGCAATGGTTATAGCAAATCCATACAGTAAAAAACTAGAAATAGCCCATCAACAATAACAAACAATAAACACTGGCTAACAATAGAGATCAACCGCATCATTCTGCAAAACAACGCTAGACCTTTCAAAAATTTGCCAAATTGGATATCGAAGTCCTTTCCTAACCACGGCATACTTCCCCGACAATTCGCTAATAAGCTATCATTTCTTCTATTCTCTAGGTAGATTCTACAGAGAAAAATATTTTCGTTAACAGGAGGACCTTGAAGCCACCTTTTCATTGGTTCCAAATCCCTGACCTTTTTTCAAAATACTTATATCACAAAAATGTGCTGATTGCAACTATGCTTATTTTGAATTAAAATATCGATTTTCGATAAAGTTATGGTCTTATAAGAAAATGACACGAAATTGCAAAAACTTTCAGGATGATCCACTAAAATAAAGGCTATGGTAAGGAAATGTTTGAAATAATAACAAAAATTCAACCAATATTTCTGGTTTTTACTATTCACTCACTCGTAGAATGGATCCCTTCGCTAGAAAATAAATTGATAGAATATATCAAACTCACTTTTAATGAGGGGATTTACTCCTACTAAGGGATAAGCAAACTTATGATGACGATGGTTCGATCATAGACGAAGCACCAAATCACTCACCCATGTCCTAGCAATTTACTCTAAAGTGAAATGTGTGAGTGACTTCTTCTAATTCCCGCTATTACTGGTTAGGCTGTCTCCACGGGCTAGATGAGTAAGACCTTTCTAAGCAACGCGGTCTGATGCCGTCGTCGACAGTAATAGATTGGCTTCTAAGCCAATCCTTTTCCATTGTCTAAGTCTATATAATGCTGGTCTCCACCTACCAGGTCTTGATTGGCTCATCTCGCTTTTGACGCCAGACATCATAGGGTTTAGCAAGTAGTGAAAGATGTGTCAAACTCTCATGCTGGGCTACGAAGAATATGTCCTAACCAGCGAAATCGACGCTCCATGATGGTATGTTAATGCAAATGGTATTTCAATGAAGGTAGATGCAATCATGTGAGTTTTTATCCTCTCCGTGAACCCTAAAATGTACCTTAAACATGAGTGGTCAAAAGCAGATAGCCAGATAATTATTCTCCACTCTCATAGGTCATGTCTCGCAGTCATATAGCAAAATTGAACGAATCGCGGCTATATAGATACGGACTTTCGTTTTTATGGTAATTTCATGGCTTAAAGGTTTCGTCAACCGGAACACATTTCTAGCTGCCGCTATCTGGGTTGCAATTTCATCTTTCGCTTCGCTATTTACGATTAGAATGGATCTGGCATCTTTACAGTCTGGCACTTCCTCAACCGACGATGAAATGATAAAAATAGGTATTTTATCAGTTTTTTGTAACCAAAACGAAAAGATTTTCATTTTATTTACATTAATTCTGAGTCCGATTCTTGCTGCAGTTGTCGACTCAATTTTTAGCATTATTTGCATTCCGTCGTAATTGTCAACAAAAAGAAATACATTATCAGCGTATACAAGATCTGTGGCACTGTGCTGTGGATTGATTCAAATATTTCTGCCGATAATTGATGACTATTATCCAAGCTATCGCACAGTTGAATATTGTAGGAGAAAGGATACAACACTGACGAACACCAGTTTATATTTCGAAGGATTCTGCCAGTTCTCCATATACACAGACTTTCATACGCTCATAAAATGATTTTAAGAGTCGAATGATCTTCTCCATACCATCACCCTTCAAAGCGCCGCTATATCAATTGAATCAAAGGCAGCCGCAAAGTCGATGAAACACGTGACAGTGGGCTGCAAATATTTAAAGCGATGTTCCACCCTTCTTAACGTGAATATCTGGTCAGCACAACCGCGCCCTAGTCTGAATCCAGCTTGATTAAAGCCCATCCTGCATCTTCATACTTCCATAAGTTTATTGAGTAAAAAGGAAACAAAAATTTTCGCTAAGACGTCTAATAAGCTGATTCCTCGATAATTGTTGCCTATGTCCTATAACCTTTCTCAAGAATGGGGGGCAGAATTGCTTTGCTCCATTCATCTGGTAATATTTCTTTTTTGCATACCAGAGAGTATGTTTGTTGAAGAGATCAGATGGAAGACAATCTTCTCTTGGAGTCTTATTGGCCTTAAGCTTATGGATAATGGAGACAAGGCCTAATCGGAAGCAATCACTAGTGGCAGATCAGTTTCAACTATAAACTCATTGAATCGGCTGGAATACATTATGGATGAATACATTATTCATACTGCATTTGTCTAAAAGATATTCATTTCAAAAGTACATTGTTTTATCGTTTTATACCGGGCATTTGTAAAATAAAAGGAAATTCCAAATGGAACCGAAAAATATAGCAACCAATGGGGTCATTTCCAATAATGCTGCTTAAATAAAACTATAAAGGATCTAAAATTATAACTATCCTCCATTATTGAGAAATATGAAAAGCAGTAAGATTTAATTTTACCAGATCTGTCGAAATCTGTCAACGAAGAACTTAAGAATGATATCAATCATTTGAAAGCCTCGTCTTTAGATGGCTCCAACTTTGAGCCTCAAAAAGTCTCAACTGAGAATATTGCGAATATTGCGCTATTGATGAATATTTCGAAAAAAAGGAAAAAGAACCATGTTTAGTTGGCATAAACATCTCGGAGAAATCTACGGATGATGAGACTGCCACTGCCGATAGGCTTTTAGCATATGGTAGCTGCCCGTGAGATCAAGACTGACTACATTAAAGAAGTTCGTCGACATGTTAGGAAGGGTTCAGGCAGGCCACGAGTACTCAAGATTCGACTTGAAGATAAGTACGCGGGTATGCCTTTTGAGTTATAAGAATGTGCGCTCGATTGTTCCCTATGGAAGCTTTTTGCAGAAGAATTTAATGAAGAGAGAACTATTCCTAGACAAACAGTTGCGAAAAGAATGTTACTTGCGATATCAGAGTCTCAGTCTGAAGAAATATGTTGTCAGAAATCTTTAAACAGTGGAACTCAGGCAACCTCGCCAATGGATTGCACCGACGAGCAATTTTTTGATTCCAACATATTCTTATCAGTCTGCAGCAGCCTAGGACAAGTTATCAAGTAAGGTTAATAAAATAGGATGTAATTTATCTTTATATATCTTTAACGCAAGAAGTTTAAAATATAAACTTTATGACCTAAGACTCTTACTAATTGATAATCCAAATAGTATTTTCTGTATCAATGAAACGTGGTTGGATGACTCTATTGATAATCGCGAACTAAACTTTGACGGCTTTATAGTATCACGCAAGGATAGAACAATAAATAGTTTAAATACTCGTGGAGGTGGGCTTATTACGCTGATTCCTGATTATTATAAATTTATAACTTTTGATGATTTTGTTTATTCCTCTTTAATAACTAAAATTCTCTAATAACTAAAATTTATCTTAATAATAAACATTTTCCTTTTAAATATATACCGCCCACCTGGCTATGGAAGTAAATTCACTAGGGATCTTAACAACCTGTTATTTAGATCAAAATTATTTGGTGCCAATTATATAATTGTAGGCGATCTTAATATGCCAAATATAGATTGAGAAAATACTTGCTTGAAAAATAGCAATAAATTTGAAGAGGACTTTCTAAACCTTTGTATCTACATAGGTCTAGAGCAACATGTTAAGATTGCCACTAGGTATAACATTATTTTAGATGTTGTGTTAGCTGCTTCTATTTCTCTTGTTGACAATACTAAAGTTTTGGAACCTTTTAATAACAGTGACCACAATATCATTCATGCTTCATAAAAATTAAACCATTATTATACTTTCCTCGAGATTTCCTAGAAATTGCCGTTACTGTGATTATGAAACCATTAATTTTATCCTCGCAGAATTAAACTGGGATTTCTTTTATTGTCTAACTTACTCCATTAATAAAAAAGTTAATTTTCTTAATAGCACCACTTTAAATCTCACAGAGCAATATATCCCTTTAAGGAAAAAAAGGGTTAGGTCAATTCCGAGTTTTCTAAAATCTTTTTAAAAAAGTGTCAAGAAGCTTTATAAAAAATTAACCAAATTGCCAGATGATCTCTCTGCATATAAAGAATGGGAAAAGGTGGGATGTATTGGAAACTTAAAAAGTTTCCATAGCGCCATTTACAATTACTTTTCAAATAAAAAAGAACTTTTGAATATCAATAGAGAACTTTTAAATATCAATTCTTTCTGGACTTATATCAAAAGAAAATTTACATATCCACGTAAACAAATAATTCTGCGACATAATGATAATATTTTGCATTTAATCAAAGTACATTTAATCAATATTTTTTTAGTGTATTTGATGCCAAATTTTGGAAATTGTCTCATATAATTCTTCTTGACTACAATAATACCTGTTATTCTCCGAGATATCGCAAATCAAGTAAAATGATTGAATGGCTCCAAAAATATTTTATACGACACCTCTCTCTCCTAATGGCAATTTTAATTGTAAAAGAAAACTTCTACAATACAACCTGGATTCTCCGTCAGTTCGTCGTATTTAACAATAAGATTCTGTATGGTTATGTTAAACACTAGATTATTCAAAATATTATAATTTTAGGCTAAATTTGAATCCAACAAAAATTAATGGGCTAAAATTGCTAAAACCTAACCTATATGCAAAACTAAACTAAGGACTCATGACTTCTTTATTCGCTCTATTAATTACTGGGATAAACTACCAAACGATGTAGTTTGTGCGTCATCTGTAGCTAATTTTTAAAAAAAATTAGAGATTATCATTTGATATTATTCAAAAAGTTTACATAATGCAGGAAGTCTCGATTTTTTACCATTTATGTATAATACAGTATAATATAATACTTCGAATGGTACTATATATTATTTTTAATTTTCTCTTCATTTTCTCCCTAAATTGTTAATTTTTGTCATATTTTCTTTTTTTCTTTTTCTTTTTTTATCATTAATTATTATTTATTTTAACTCTTGTTATTAACATAAGCACATGGCATTTGTCCTCCTGCTTGGCTGGTTTTCGATAAACAAAAAAAAAATGAATTCTCTAAATGACTTTTAAACTCATGTATTTCAACTTCTTTTCTATTATAGTGCTGTGTAGCTAAACATAGTAATTCGATGCAAAATTTTCAAAAATGAAAACTATCAAATTTGCATTTGATATTTATTTTTTTCATACTTATTTTAAAATTATAAAATGATTGTAAAATCTTTTTATACCTAATTTTTAAATATTGAAAATATATGAATTTTATAAATATATGAAAGATTTATGAATTCGAGTTAAAATCGAGGTTACAGGAAATAAAAAATATTAAATGAATCTAATCGAATCATCATAAAACTTTTGTTCCAAAATTTATCCACTAAAAACAATAAGTCTACCATTAAAAGTAAAACTCAAACTAATGCTATATCTTCTGTCATTAATTAACTTCTGTTGTATCACTCTATTAATGGCGTAAAGCAAGCTAAACCAGAAATAAGGCATAACTTAATCAGAGTAATTTGCCAAATAATTTTTTTATAAAAAATAGTATTTTAATGCATTGTGTTGACAGTTTAATTTATAAGAATAATATTCGCATAATAAAAATCGTTTAATTTATGTATATTCTCTATTTGTCTTGTGTTTAAAAAATAATTTTTGATGTCTTAAAATTCAGTCGCTAGCAGAGAAATCGAAATTAAGACTGGATTCGTAAAAAAAGACAATGTTTTTCATTCCGCTATTCAAAAATTTTAATTAAGAAAAATAAAGAGTTATAAACTAAAAAAAAATAAACGAAAAACATTAAGACCCAAAATAAAAAAACGATGAGTTCCTGGATGACTTTGATACTGCAAAATTGATTTAAATGTCAATTTAATGGTCAATTTAATGGTTAAAATTTGTTCTTAATTATTTCAGTCCCGTAGACTAATGACTAAGACAACAATAACTCTGTCCATTTTAGTGCAATGAAACTTGAGAAATGAAACGATCTTCAACTACTTCGAAAGGAAAAATTTACAAACATTAATTTTTTAAAAAAAACGAAAAGGAAATTATAATATATAGCATAGTTCGAAGTAACTGTATTGTATATAATCGGATGGTAAAAAATCGAGATTTTACACTACCTGCATGATGTGAACTTTAAAATAATATCAAAAACGATATTACCTAATTTTTTAAAAAATAGCTCAGGATGAGGCACAAACTACATCGTTTAGCAGTTTATTCCAGTAATTAACTGAGCGAATAAAGAAGTCATGTATCCTTAGTTTAGTTTTGCATATAGGTTAGGTTTTAGCAATTTTAGCTCATTAGTTCTTCTTGAATTCAAACTAAGTTTAAATTATAATAATCAAACAATGAACAATCTAGTTCAACATAATCATACAGAATCTTATAAGTATAAATTAAATCTTGCTAAATTCGAAGAAGTGAAAGAGAATCCAGGTTATATTATTGAAGTTTTCTTTTATAATTGAAATTGCCGTTAGGATAGAGGCGTCGTTATAAAATATTTTTGGAATCCCTCAATTATTTTACTTGATTTGCGATATCTAGGAGAGTAACATGTAGTATTACAATCAAGAAGAGGCTGAACGAATTTTGATAATAAAATTAGTATCTTTGAGGATTTCTTTATCATGGTTCTGCAGTAAAGGTCGAAATCGAGATTTTCACCCATGATTATTCCAAGATCCAAAATGTGTAAGATTCTGATTATATTATTATTAATAAAAAAATAAGGAAGATCAAATCCTATCGAATATGCAAAACACTACACTTTTTAAAAGGCAAAAGGGTAAGGGGGAAGGGTTCTGCCTACCATATAACCAGCTGGCTATTCTGTTAACGAACTCCTGTAATGGAGATAGGTTATTCGCTCTACCATGAGAAAAATAAATTTTACAATCATCAGTATAAAAATAAATGGCAAAATTTAGTTCCATTTGTCTTTAGTGATATCATTTATATATAATGAAAAAAACAATGACGCAATACAACTACCTTGGGGAACGCCAGATTTAACAAGTATCATAATAGAATGAATGTTGCGACATAAATAGCCTGACGATCTTTTGTGTAATGCGACATCCAGTTATCCAAGTTCCCTGTAATGCCATAACTACCAAAAGTGATCGACAAATTGCTATGAAAAACAGTCTCAAAAACTGGCCAAATCTAGGCACACAGCTGGGTACTGTTTTTCCATTGCCAATTAATGCTGACCAATCGGAAAGATATTTGTGAATCTTATTATTACCAAAGCGATGAAAGGATAAAAATGAAAGTTCAAATAAACAAGCTCAAGTCACAAAAGGTTTATTAATAACGATGAAAAAACTTGACATAAACCCACAAAAAATTAAACTGCTTTCAACCTATAGACATTATCAACCCCAAAAAAACTGCACAAAAGATTTACAACTTCCAAAATGCATTCCTTTTGACAAAATATAGTAGTAACCTTTCTTCAGCTCATTTCAAAAAAAAATATTGCCCAAGAATCAAAGTTTTATGAAAGAAAGATTATACAATGAATGATTATACAATAAACCATTTGCATTAAACATGAGATATCCTATTCCTCTGCTTTACTTGCTTTTCTTAAAAGCTAAGATAAAATTTTTAAACAACCACTGGCGAATCTGTTCAAGTTCGTAATATTAACATTTTTTTAGCTAAGAAAATTCATCAATCAAGCCAGTTAAATGTAAATTATATTTCCTTTATTTTCCCCATTAATGAGGACATTCTGGAAATTAGTTCAGATTTTAATTTTAACAGCAGTATTAAAAATCCACAAAGATGAATCAGATTGCCAGTCCAGTAGTCCCTGTAGTTTCTATGTATGAGAAAATTTTTAATTAGTTCAACATCAATACATGACAAATGAAAAAAAAAACCAGTCTCAACACATTAAAGATTTTACAAAATTACAATTTAAAATTGTTTGCTTACTTATCAACTGAAATTGAAATTGAAATTGTTTGCTTACTTATTAAATAAAGCAAAAGAATTGCTGGAAATCCCTATCGAAAATTCGCACAAATATTATAAATCAATATGTTTTTATCATTTAAACGGCAAATAAACAGAAACGAACGTTAACGATTTCAATAAACAAAACGTGATAAACAAAATTTTGCCATAAAGATGTAACAGGAAGTAAAGAAACAGCAGTTCCCTCTTGAAGACAAATATGTAAATATCTCTGCATGGTTTTCTTCCCACTTTTTTAAAAGGATATTATAAGCACGGAAAAAACACTTCAATGAATCATTGAAAAAATTCCGTTAAAATATGCAATAAAAAAATGAAAAAGAGGAAAAACTAAGAAACTCAGAAAACCGAAATAAAAATTTAATGAATATTTTAAAAAAGCCTGATTAAAAAAAATATCAAAGTACAAGAAAAAAAACACAATTCGATTACCTTTTAGTATAATCTGCTGGAGTAGCAAGAAAATCTGCTTCTATTGGAGGATAAAAAAGCGGCATTACATTCATTTCGGGCACATGGTAGGGTTTGGTGGATGATGGAAAAAACGTGAACGGATGCAGTGGTTTTGAAGATATATTAGCCTGAGAATTAGAATGAAAAAATTCAACTGAATGAAAAGGTTTTTCGGCATAAGCACGAGAAGTTGATGGATGTTGCGGCGGAAATTTCGAACTGTTTCTATAAATTTATAATTTCAAAGAGACATAGCTTTCATCAATTTTTTTTCAAAGTAATAAATATAAATTTTCAATAGCTATGTATAGACCTGACCTCATTCACATAGTGAAGAAACTCATTTCAATTTTCCGCATTTAAAGACAAACTCATACTACCGACCATTTCTTATAAAGCAATAGAAACGAAAAATAGCTTACCTCATAGAAGGATGAAGATGATGTTCCAAATAACTCTGCTGAATAGTTCGCTCAGGAAATCGAGTCTGACGTCGTTCAATAGAATCTAAAATCAACAAGTTTACGAATATCTACTGAAAAATTGTGCCCACAAGATTTATACATGTTAAATGCACACATATCATGAACCTTCCTTATTATATGCTTTAATCGTCCTTCGAAACCTCTCAGCATTCTCAAGGCTCCAATGAACAACTTTTGTTACACCTCAACAGCGATACTACCTCAGACCTTATTCTATCATCATAAGACAACAATGCACATAGTTCTTCAAAACCTACTTGAAAAGTTATTCAAAACCTAATCCCCTCCAAATCTTGAAAATTCTCTTAATCATCTTTAAAACCTTATCAAACCGCATCATATTTCTTTTTTTTAGAGCCACAGAGTGCCAAAATAAACCTTATGCTATGCTAAAGCTCGCATGATAATCAAACATAGAGCAGCAATGAAAAAGTATAATAAGCTTTTGTAAATAACTCATTAATTCTCCTAAAAAACCACTATAATGCCTATGTTAAGATGGCATGTTAGAGACCTATGCTTCAAAAACTTTTTTGAAATACCTTTCTAAACATCGTCAAATATATCATTATGGCCCAATCTTCCTTTAAGCCTTTATACTACATTTTAATGTCACCCATATCAACTCTTTTTCCCTGATGCATCTCGCAGTTCATTTTCGCCAATGCCGAGTTATATTTGATAAAAAACCAAAGGTAAGCCAAAGTTTAAAGAAAATCCTGTTCGTCCATAGGACTGGTTATTTTATTAGTAATCGATATTTATCAAGAAGAACACTTAACTCCACTGTTAATAAAAAGAGTGTTTATAGAAACGACCAGAACCTCCCAAAATCCATTAAAATATTGGGAAGAACGGCGAACTGGTAGTTTACCTCATATTAAAGCCTTCAGCACCGGGATTCCGACCCTGCTACCTGAAGGGATTCAACATGTAATTCAAAAATAAAGGCGGTGATAGGAAGCCACTCGTACTTCTAATCCCAATAAATCTCTTGCAAAAATTTTCAATCATACTAATAGAAGAGAAAACTAACCAGATATGGCAGGGTTACTCATTTAATTCTTTAATATACAACTGTTTCTAACTATTCACCCCTTTATTTGTAATATTTACCGAATTGGCGCTGGTTATAGAAGTATTTATTGTTCCATCTTTCATTCTTTTTTGAACTGAAACGATCCCTGACATTTATGCTGCATGCCGCGAACTCGAAATTATTTTGTTTCTGTTTAAAATAAATCTTTTCCTAAACAAATCATTGACAGCAAAGTATAACCAAATAAATAATGATAAACAATACTATAATAATAAAATGATAGTAAATGAACGAATGCTCATATTTAATTATTTTTATTTTTAATAACTATTACTATCAATTTGATTAGGTTCAAAGTTTGCATAAAATTAAAAAAAACCTGCAGTGATCCTCTTTTTGGACGAACTGAAATTTGTGTCCCATATAATTCAATTTTATCTAGACATTTCGTAGCGAAAAGTACTGATTCTGAATCCTCAAAAACAACGATTGCAAAATGATGAATCGCTTTTCCATTGAGACCAGGCTTCGTCCTTAATAGCACTGTTTCAACCGGTCCAACCTATAATTTACTTTACTATTTATCACTTAATTAATGTAATTAATCAGCAAAAAAAAATTGCGTATATTCATACAATAGTTAAACATTAAATCTTTTCATTTTGCAATTCAATTAATTAAATGTAATTATAACAAAAATTCGATTATATATATAATTTATCATTTATCATTTTCTTCCTTCGAGCTGAACATTTCAAATGATGTCCATCATCCTTATTAACGCACCTTCAACAAACGTACTTTCTGGTACGAAAGAAAGAAATATTACCAGATGAATGGAGTAAAGCAATTCTGTTGTCAATTCACAAGGTGATAGGACAAATTGCGACAATTATCGAGGAACCAGTCTTCTCAGCGAAAATTTTTGCTTCTCATTTACTCAATAGACTTATTGCAGTATGCGCGCTAATTAAGCTAAAATTAAGCCGGGAGGCGGTTGTGCGGACCAGGCATTCACATTAAGATGGATGTTGGGACCTCGAACTTCGCTTCAAATATCTGCAACCCACCGTTGCGTTTTAGATAGAACGGCACTTTGGAAGGTTATGGAATGTGACAGTGTTCCAGAGATGATTCGACTCATAAAGGCATTTTATCAGCGTACATCGGCGCAGGTCTATGTATATGGGAAATTGATAGAATCCTTCGAAATAAAAACTGGTGTCGGTCAAAGCTAAATCCTTTTTCCTACAATATTCAATAATGCGAATAACTGGAGAATGGACACCGCTTGTCGGCATTCAAGAGGTGTACAAATCAATCCAGAGCATAGTATTGCTGACCGTGAATACGCTGATGATATTATCCATTTTGCTGAAATGCATATAATGTTTATTATGGCAAAATGCATATTATAATGCTAAACAATGTGTCAGCAACTGCTGCGAGAATCGTATTCATGGTAAATAAAACGAAAATCTTTTCGTCTTATGCACAAGAAGTTGATAAAATCCCTCTTTTTATAAATCCATTGCTGCTTGAGGAGATGCTAGATCTTAAATATCTTGGATACACTCTAATTCCGAATGGCAAAAGACGAAATTATAATCTGATAACGGCAGCTAAAAATGCGAACTTCCGGTTTACGAAACCTTTATGAAGCCATCGTGAAATTACCACAAAAACAAAAATCCGTATCTATATAGCCGCGATTCGTTCGATTTTGCCATATGGCTACGAGATATGGCCAATGAGAGTGGAGGATACTAATAAGGTACATTTTAGGGTTCGCAGAGAGGATAAAAACTCATATGATCGCGTCCACCCTCGTTGAAATACCATTTGCATTAATAGTACAATCACAAAACTTCGCCTTCTTAGGATACGTTCACGTCCCCACTACAAGATTTGACGCATGTTTCGCTATTTGCTATACCCTGTGAAGGGTGGCGTCAAAAGCGAAGTAGACCAATCAAAACCTAGACCTCAAGAAGGAATATGAACTTGTAAGTGGACCAGCAATATATGGACTTAGACGATGGAAAAAGGAATGACTTCTAGCTTGGAAACGCCTTACCCTTATAGCCAGTGCAGCTAGTCTAACCAGTAATGGTGAGAGCTGATAGAAGAAAAAAAAGATAATTTGCCATATTTATAAAAATTTGAATTAATAATACAAGCAAAACAGAAAAATAATTACGTTAAAAATACATAGAAAAAAAACAAAGATGGTAGATAAAATAATATAGCAATTAATTAGAAATGAAAGTAAACTTGAAGAAAATTAGAGACAATAAACCATAAATTTAGCAATAAACTTTCATAAGAAAAAAATTTTCACAAAATCATTGTGAAAGAAATCAAAATAAATATATTATAAAATCACAGTATTATGCATTAAAAAATCACAAATTAATCAGAAAATCAATAATATTATCTCATATATCCTAAACCACTTAAAAATTCTGCACTCTGAAAGACTATAACTCCAAATTAATATCCAGATAAACATTACACTGAATACTTCTTCCAACGTGATATAAATATATTTTACTGCACCTGCAAAAAATTCTGAGCTTCTCGAACCAACAAACTCCTAAAAGATGGTTTCAAAATCGTCCTGTTTTCGAATGAGAAAGTTCTCTTTGGGAAAATGGCCAAGAGCAAGGAAGAAAATATAGTCAGTTAGCGAAATATAGGGGGAATATGGTGGGAGACATTTCGATATTCATTTCTGCAAATTCTTCAGGCCTAGTGCTGTTATGAAGAATGATCGAACCTTTTCTGTTGTTAGTGCTGGATACTGCGTTTCTAGTGATCATTTCCAATTCTGGGAAGTTAGACCAAACCAGTAGCAGATCAAACAGTAATTGCAATCTCCTTCGGATTAAAGCTAGGTTTAACAAGGATCGAAAGAGTTCGTTCTTGTTCTACCATCGAACTTTTCCTGTTGTTGTAAAGAATTGGCAATTTATTACAAATAAAAATCCGTCTAAGAAAAAGATCGATTTTATATTTTATAGCAACGAACAACAAACATATTTTCATCTACAGAGTGCCCCTCCTACTGTCCAGCACTGACATAAGTTTATTGAGTAAAAGGAAAGCAAAAATTTTCGCTGAGACGTCTAATAGGCTGATTCCTCGATAACTGTCGCCTCATATCCTATCATCTTTCTTGAGAACTGGGAGCTGAATTGCTTTGTTTCAGTCATCTGGTAATATTTCTTTCTTCCATACCAGAGAGTGTATTTGTTGAAGATTATGAAGACGATGGAAAACATTTGAATAGTTCGGCCAAGAGACTATCTTCTCTCGGAGTCTTATGGGTCTTAAGCATATGGAGATTCTTTTTTCTTCTATTGGCTCAGCTAGAGGCCCAATTTTATTAATTAATCAAAGACACATTCTCTCTCGAGGAGAGTCCGCAATAAGACTATTATACAAAAAATATTTCAGTTACAAGAGAAAGAAAACAACATAAAAAGAGCAACAAAAAATGAAATATGCAAAAAAAGAGTATACAATAAAAAGAAAAGGTAGGAAAGTGTGCTAATATACTAATTAGCCAAGTAGCAAATATAGACTTTTTCATTCTGACATGTTTGGATCAAACTACCTTTAGGCATGCATTCACTCCAATTGCCAAGCACTGACTCTTTTTTAATTTCTTGATCTTTGCTTTTCTTTCTCGCTTTTTATCCTTCATCTATTTTTTATATTCAAGCAAATATAAAAATTGGTTAAATGCTTCCAATTTTGATGATAGTTGTTCCACTGTCTGCTAGTGATATAGAGGTATCCCTAACACCACATGGATTTTTTAACGATAAATTTACGCTATTAGAGGCAGAAGACTGAACCCTGAGGATGGAGACGATCTTTTTACGATCGTTCAGCTAGAGGCCCAATTTTACTAATTAATCGAAGACACACGTAAGGTACTTCTGTCTCGAAGAGAGTCCCTAACAAAAACTCTAAAATATCAAGTCGAATCAGTCGAGAACAGTGATGGCCACCCAAATTTGCCTCTGATAAAATTTTCATTTCGAAAAATTTATGGTTAACAATTTAATAAACCTGAGTAAAAAGCTCTTCAAGAATCGGTTGTGTGACCGAATCGTGCAAATTGCTTACGTAGCACGTCCTTTCATCCAATTCACTCATAACGATGTCCAACTTCAAACCTAACCTCAGACCACATTTGCTGCCGAAAGAAGAAGCACCCACATACGAAAAATTCGGCAAAAAAAGCCAGAAGAAAACCACCATGGCAAAAACGACCACATTCGCCCGTGATAACAATAAACTTCGTGCGCATCTAAGTTTAACTAAAAAAGAAATAAGTCTAATGGTTATCGCCTCGAGCTGCCTCAGGACTGTTGGCCTGTTACTTTGTCTCTTATGCCCAATGAGTGTACAGTATCGAGGAGGAGAAAAACAATATTTGTTTTTCTAACAGTCTGCTTTCATTTGAACAAGGCATCCGATACGAGTCATCTTAACGGGCTGGTGCGATGGCCACTTTTGCTCTGAATTGTTTCGATAATTTGTGATTTGTAAAAATAAAGAAAAAGGTATAACGAAGTTATCTGCCATCTCATTCTTTTAAAGAAAGATCATTGAATCACTAAAATTGACAGCTGTGCGCACAAGGTTCCAAATTAAATCTACGAACTACGATATGGCCTGGTTCTCTGGAACTGGAAATAGTTTTAGAATGTGATTTGGTTTGATTTTCAGTTATCCGTGATCATTTGAGATTTAAAGTGGTGAGAGGTAACTGCTTCTTTAAAAAACGATCATATAGCTATTCGAATTCATGCAAAAATGCATTGGAATATATTTTAAGAGGGTAAGGAGTAAGAACTGGATCTCAGTGAGTAAAAAGGGCAGAGAGGCAAAAGGTAACTTTGAAGAACAAAAGTATTTATATAGACATGCCTTTTTTTTCTATCGTCTTATACCGGATACTTATAAAAATGCATTCGATGCATTCACTAAGGTCAGTGAAATTAAGAACGATATAAATAATTGGAAAACATCGTCATCGTCTTACCTCGACTCACCTCAAGCATCATTTGTTGGAAACTGACGAAGAATATTTCGAAAAAAAGCAGAAAGAGCCATATCTATTTAGTATACAAAAATACAAAAATCTACAGAAAAGTCTACAGAATATGGGACTGATACTGTCAATAGGCTATTGGCGAATTGTCGCAGCAGCTGGAATGAAAGTTAATTGCATGAAGAAAGTTTGTCGGTATGTCGGTAAAAAAGGATGTCAGGCCATGAGTATTCATAATTTGACTAGAAGATAAGTTTATGGACAAGTCTGTTTTGCGCAGCAGGAATGTACGCTCCATCGTGCTGATTATAATGATTTAGGCTTGAGATAATCCATCATGCAGAAAACATCAGTCCTAGAGATCAAATTCTCCGCTTTCTTCCGTTTGTTGCAAAAAAGGAATAAAAAAAATCAAAAACACTCGTTAAGCGGACTTGGAATGGTTCCCTGATTTAGACATACAGAAAAAAAATATTGCAAGCATTCATAGTCAACAATTAACCATTCAAGAAATTATAATCCGTTTGCACAAAAGAATATGCGAATTCAGGCGAATATTTGAAGCGAACCATTTTTCACGAATATATAAATAGTCAGCTTTTTCATAATCAAAACTTGAATAATTTAGCAAAACATACCATTTTAAATTGTCGAGGAGTAGAATATTATCGAATGGTTCTTGCATTGATCTCGAGCTTGATTCGGCCCAATAAACCTATTAAGAAAATTTAGGTTGTGGAAGATATCCACCTGCATTTCCATCTGTGCAATCGGTCTGCCAAAAAAACATTCATTCTGGCAACCAGTGAAGCCAACATAACTCTCTAGCCACTTATTAACCATTTACCCTAGAAAGCAATGAAAAAGCAGGGCAAGCATATTTGGTGGAGGGAATTTGATTAAATTTTAGTCTAATGAGAAAAATAAGTCTCATCGTTAATTAAATATAATATACAAATCAGAACCTGGAAATTTTCTTTACTTTCAAGACTAATTTAGATACTATTCTGTATGCAAGATTTACCACACTTTTTTCTAACCACTTTCCTTTATAAATTTTTCAGTCAAATATGAATTTTTTGTGAATCTTAAGCTTGGGCTTAGGCCCTTAATTTTAAGCTTTTATTTTAATATGCAAATTTCCATTCAACCATTCATAATAAAATGATTTAGGCTTTATGTTCGTGCGTTAAAGCCTCTTGTTAGGCGATCTTGTTGTAGCGTTAGCGATTTGAGAACTTTTGTGGCTCAAATTTTATACGTTTGGGATTTTTTTGATAGGGCAGATCAGTGATCCATAGAACAAATATTGAATTATTGGATTTAATGGATTTTTATATGGGATTCACTGCAAAGAAAATTTCGTCTCTTTTATATTCTCTGCTGGATAGATTTCAAAAGTTTCTTAAACATTAAGACAAAATGACCTATTTTAGAACATTTCGGTGTAGTGTAATGCCTTAACCAGTTGTGAGGAAAAATATTTTAAAGAATGCAAAACCAAATTTGCGACACAAAACTGGTTTTTTAATTCATAAGGAAAAAAACGCAAAAATTTACAGAATATCATTTTTAGCAAGATTTATGGAAGCAATGAACAAATTTGCGTGAATAATATTTCTTTTTCGCATGTTTTTCGAATCCATTGTTATGCAAATTTTTAAGTCCATTCTCCTAAGAACCTTTTCAAACGTTTTAAATCAGATTTTAAATTATTATTCCTAACTTTTCAGCTGTTTTGATAGACAACCTAGAAATTACCGACAAGTTACCTGACAGTAAAAAGAAATCAAAAAAGTAATTCCATATTCTTTAATATAATTATGCCATTAGCTCTCTAATCCTTTTTCTTTTAGCAACTCACATCATCACTGGTCAGATTTGTTCCACTGAGATTATAAGGGTGATGCGTTTCCCAACTGTTTCATGCCTCTCGGAAGTCATTTCTTTTTCGGCCATCTGTCATGTATCGATAGGCCACCAATGCATCGGCTCAGGTGTTAGTTGGGCCACTCATCGCAAGACTTGGCTTGTAGCGAGATATATTAAATTCCTCTGATGGATGGTGAAGAAAATGACCTACTGTGGAGTATTGTGGCGATGCTCTACGACGAAATTTATGGCAAGATAGTATTATTACCTTAACCAAAATGCCTAATAATTCCGCATTCATATGTTTTATTTATATTAACCGTGATAGATTTTTTTCGCATTTCGGTTTATTTATAGAAACGGGATTGAAATCTATAATCATCGCAAGGTATCACTATCATTCGCTTCCGATTTTTCTTCTTCTTCTTTTCTTCCGATCTTTAATGCAAATTCTGGCGAATATTTTTGCCGAAATATTTTAATGAAGGAAACCTTGATTTTTTGGATTTCACTACGAAAGTTTGTTAGCAAGGATTGGGTGAAGATATGTTATGAGGATCCAGATTTCTTGCATTAGTTTTCGATATTATACTGAGGACGAAAAGGCTTATTTTAATAATGCAAGGTGGTTTTCAACTTGTCATGAGGCGAAAGAATATTTCATTCCTAAAAAATATTGAAAATTATCATGAAATTAATTACAACAAAAGAATAACGAAAAACATTGAGAAAAAATAAAGAAAAAGTCGATAATGATGATCTTGATAAAACAAGAACAGTGCAAAAATATTAAGTATTCAGCGCCCACCATTTCTGGCTAAGCCATCTCCGCTGGCTGTAAGCATAGTAAGAAATTTTTCATTTTCAGAAAATCATTCGGGTAAATAGAAATCCAGTGAAGGGCGAAGAAAGTTGCATGAAAAGTAATTCGTATATTCCTTCCTTAATTATTCAATTAAAGATTAAAATTAAAGAAAATTTAAAATATTTGCAATTTGGTAAATTTTGCACAGTTATACTTCAGATTTGGTGGGAAGAAGTAAATTTAAACGTTTATCCAAGAGATATGACATGGGCCAGTGAGACCTCCTATAAGTCGATAACAACTCTGTGGAACGATGTGGTGTCGAAGAACAACTCAAACATTTGTACTTCTTTAAGATTTCATATAAATTTCAAATTATACTGATGAAAGTAAAAATTACACGTTTGTTACTGAATGAATATTTTTAGCTTTCCCAGTTTTTAGCTGAAGCTGGTTTTGATCATGTGAATTAATTATTAAGGAAAGTAATGAATAGATGAACACGAAGCTAGCGACTTTTGTAGAGGGTCGATGTGAGAGAAAGGGTCGATGTTGAGGAACCCCTGGTTTAGCGGAAAGAGCACGTTTCTTTGTTTTTCATTTTTGCATACCCTTCGCTGCTTAATGAATGAACAATTTCTCTCGCTGTGCCAGTAGAATTTTTTTGTGTTATCATTTAAAAAACTCAGTTGATAAAAAAATCCAATAAATAATTTGATAACAGGAATTGATAACAGAAATCCAAATTATTTGGAAAAATATGGACCAAATGTGTTAGAAATGTGAGTCAGAATAGCTGAATAGCAGGATGATTCTTAATAGGTTGATTCAGCTGTAACCAAGCACTATGTTCAATTCCTATCTCTTGGCGGCAGTTAAGCTGCCATTAAAATTGAAATGTGAAGCTGCATTTGCAGCATCTCTATGCCCAAGTGTCTCTTGGTAAAGAGGCCTATCTCATCGTAAAAGCCAGGTGAGCCAGCAAAACCATAAATAGCTATGCTATTGGAATAAAGAGAAATATTTTAGAAATAAAAAATTTTTCTAAACATTCATTGCTTAATTGCTTAATCATTGCTTAATTGAGTAATTTTCATTATATGAGAGAAAAAGTAAATATTCTTGCATATCATATCACAGACATAAGCTATGATCAATAGATAATCACATTCCTAACTGTGCGTTAGTTATAGAAGCGATTTATTATTAATAATTATATATATATATATATATGTATATTGCCATTATCATTACTACTTTCGTGAAATAATAAAGTTATTGCAATTTTATGAATCGTTTTGTACACAAATCGATGATTAGCCAAGTTTACTCTGTAGTCCGATAAGGCAGCGGAGCGAGTCAAACCAAAAATGATAAGCACTGGAGAAAACCACGCAAGTTTGAAGCTTCGATGTTGAAATT